TAGACAATTTACAACCAGCACTCACAAATTCAAGTGGCGTATTTATATTTACTGGCGTACGTCACGTGAATATGTAAAATACGTTGTTAGAGCATCTATTAAAACATTACATCGAATGTTTCATTAGCTAGTGATATGTCCGTTAATTTGTTTGAGTTGCAATTAACATGTCGGGTCGATGGCCGGCTTTACATTTTGTTGACTAAGCCTTAGAAAAAAAATAATAAAAAAAAACTTAACGGCTGCGTTCATATTTGACAGCTCCACCGCTTACCGATTCGTTCTTAAGAACAGATTATAAACAAATATTAAGACCTTATTGGCTGTATTGCTGTGGGATAAGGTTGAATTTTGAATTAGGTTTTGAGGATGGCGTTTAATTTAAATTTGTCGGTGGGCAATAATCGGTTGGGCAACGTGAATACAAACTGTTTAATCCATTGTTACGATAATGTTACAATTAATCAGTTGTGAGCTGTTGTTTGTGTATCACGACTGATGACTGGTTGTGAAATGAAGCCTGTTGCTTAGTATATCATTTAATGATCATTAGTGTCTATCTATGTGGTTCTATAGTTTTACATTTCAATTCAGAAGTGTGACCTTTACCAATATTATTTTCAGGTGGAAATAAGTATAATGTGAAAATATCTACCTAGTTTTAGGTCGTATTTTAATGGAAACTTTTACCACCATCTCATGCCAAGGTACCTACTTAAGTAGTTTAAAAATATGTTATTGCGAACTTAGTCTGGAACCCGATCAACAAAATCTATTTCACAGAAGCCTTTATCCGAGTAATACTAGTAGTATTACTGTTCGAAAAATTTATCGGAGTACATATTATATTATTTTCCATTTTCTGACTCTCCTGGCGGAGTGGCGATAGGTGATTCAAATGACTACCACTCTCCAATCCGACGCCCTCTGCAATCTAACGCAGAGAATACTAAATTCTTAAACCCACGTCCTTAAGGCTTTTGGTTCTTAATAGATATTCGTCCACTATCAGAAACCTTTGTATGAAAGACTAAATTCTAAGTCAAATAATCATCGCCAATTTTTTGCCGTATTGCTCCTAATCCTTTCTAGTGATAATAAGAGAATATTTCGGAATGTTGACAAAAGTTTCTTATCGTAATCTTTTGGCTGACTAAGCGCCAGTTTGTCCTCATATAAGCTCCTGTTACATATAACTGGCAGATAATTTATTTTCAAAGTTAAAAACTTTTTCCATTAGGTAAACTATAATTAGGTACTTTTGAAACGTCAACAAATACAAAATAAATAATAGTCTGTCAGTCTGTCCGTCAGTGAAGCTAGGTGCCTACATACTTTTTACATATTTCTTTCATATTCATAACTTGAATCTGCCCAATAGATCATCTTCGATTAAAACCAACTAAAATTGTACAGCTAAAAGTTAACACATTGTTAAATTATTACGTATCGGCGCGTTTTAAATTTAATTTGCCGCTGCATTATCAGGAGTAGCTAGTCAGCTACCGGAGCCTATGAAAAGGCCTTTAAGATTCGAAATAGACATGGTTTAAAAAATATATCTATTCTCTAGTTTTTCTCTAGACAATTTCTAAATATCGGCAACGTACCTTTAGGCTTAACTCATTCTGTCTCCTGCATTAAATTCAACAAGGGAGGAGGAAACTATTGTATTTTTCTTCTCCTCTATTAATAACTATCTTCTGATTTATTTCGTTGCAGGATACGGCGGTCCCTGGTACGTGTCGGACTACGCTAGACGACCTCAGTGTTGTGGTGTCTTTATTATATCTAGTATAGGTCCTGGTGTTGCAGTGGTTTTGAGAGGTGGTGATGGGCTTGTCCCATATAAAAAAATATCGCTGACGTATGTATGTTTGGCACAGTAACTGATAAAGCCAGTATATATCACAAACCTATTCAATTACATGTAAATCACCCTCAGTTTTATACAGCAGACATACTCACTTATATACCATAGATGTCAATAAATAATAAACTGTACTCATTGCACGAAACTTCATGAATTCAATAAAGGCGCCGGCAAAGGACGAAATAAATTCATACCAACGTTTAATTAAACGACAAATAAATACGTTTTGCACTTTAAAATATGGCCGTCCCACTTAGCGATGTTATTATTAGCGCTATTTCATCTAATTAAGCGCTAAATGTACGCTATATAAACATTCAAGCACTTTCCGACACACTCAAGTTCCTCCATCGCAAAAAATATATGTACCTACTTAGTAACTTATATTTTATTAAATGTCTCCATGTTTAATTAACTCTCATTTATAAAAAGCAATTAAAAATGAAACGACACCCGGAAACTTTTATACAGCCAATTTAATTTCTATCGAGTGTTGCCATTCGTGAAATTTTATATTCCCATAAAAGTTATCACTGATTAAGTAATTAAAACATTCTGATGTGATAATTGATCGCTCAGTGTTGCCATTTATTGAGCCGTTGTCTATGAATTGTGGAAGGAATTCGAGGTTAATGAATGCCCGCGGCGTGTGTGCATAGTTACTCTTAAAAGGGTTGCCATAAATGTCGTTAGACGGATAGGGAAGCTTGGAAAAAACTGTACGGCGGGTTTTGTTTCTCATGGTCGACGGATCGAGACGGTAAACAAAATGGTATAATGCTTGTTGTGGCTTCTATTCCTAGATTGGCACCTATAGCCGTTGATTGGTTCCTAAGAAGTTAAACAATTACGAGTATTTAGAAAATACTACTTCTATTTTCACTTTTCCGTTGTTTTAAACCTCAGTTTCGGCGTTTTATTAAAGCTCTTAATAAAAACTGGCGCGTAGGTGTTTTAGTTTTGATAGACCAAAACACATATTCCAACATACTTATACCAAATTGTTATAAGACCTTTTATATATTCTTATGTTCAAATCTTTGATGATTAGTTCAAGAAATAAATAGATATTTGTAGCTACGCTATTAAAGTTGATTAGATGCAAGTCTCAATGAGAATTTCATATTAAAGTATTACCTACTTAGCTGAAACAGTATCAAACCTTTATTCCAACCCTATCTATTTATTTAGTAATAATTTTTACATTTTTATTAGTCTTACACTGCTCCTTATTAGGTATTAACTATTCCAAAATCGAAAAGCTCATTATAACCTTATCCGATTTGAAAATCATACCCAAAGGGTCTAGCCCAGTAATCGCACTAGTGACGACTCATTCCAAAAAATATAAAAAATATACCTTTTTTTACTTTTTGATTAATGATACGCAAACAGAAGCTACGTAGACTGCCCCGGTGCACCTTATATTCTACGTACTTAGAGTACAGACTTATTAAAATATGATTTAACTGATAAACACGTTCCCTCCATTAACGAACACATAACGAAGTTTGTCATAAGACATGTGTCGTCTAAAGGTTAAGCGCTCTGCCCATATCTAGAGCACAATGTGTATAACTAAATATTATAACGATCCAACTAGTCTGTTTGTTTTAATTCTGTTTTCATTAAAAAAATCAATGTTATTAGAGCGTTCGAATAAAACCCTTGTCTAATACTTATAATCGTGTAATTATTTGCATGTTCATAATTACACAGGTCGTTATAATATTATTTTTATTAAATTAATTGATCTCCTTTCCACTACGCTTTGCAATTTATACAAAAAACTGCAATAGGAATTGGTAGTCTAATATATTTTTAATAACTGTCCCATGTGTCATTTTATACACGTAAGTAATGACTTGTACACAAGGCTATAAAAACATTAAGACGATGCCAGGCGCGTAGATACAAATAGTGGGCTGCACCTGCATTTTGTCCTTCAGAACATTCAATTACAGTAAAATACGCGGCCCACTATAATATAAACTTAATTAGCAACAATATAAATTGAGTCGCTCGTAACGAATTACGAAAAATTACACTTTATTAATCTATGGTCTATGAAATGCGAACTTTTTGTTGGCCGCATTCCTTATCCCGCTAAAAAGGTTTTGTAATTCGAATCGATTTAAATTAGGAATATGGGATTCCAAAGAAATAATTATCGAATTTGAATTTTATTTGTGTTCGAATGGCCTAATAGTCCGCAATACTTGGTAATTGATATATCTACAAAAGCTTGACATTTTTAAACGCTTCAGTGAACGAATTCCTTAATACTCTAGTCTCTACGAACTAGAAAAAACTTCTGTCTACCTTTTTGTCAACATTGGTAGGTTTGATATTTAGCCTACTTTGTAAGTGCCTATTAACTCGAAATTAAAAATGTTAAACTTCATAAAATAGAAAAATTGTTCTGGAAATTGACACATCCATGTTCGGTCAGTCTCAATGTCATTTAGTTTGTAGTGGCATTGACTGCCCTGGTTGAGGGCCTTAATAGAGAGACCACTGCAGGGATTAGACCGATTTAGTAGTCAACTGCCTTAGCGGTCTTTACTACGAGTAATCATTATAAAACAAAATTGTTGCGGTTTATAAAAAGCAGTCGTCGTAAAAGGTAATTATGATTACACTACAGATTAAAAATAATACAAATATAAATTGTTTACGAATATAATTTTATTAACAATTTTAATTTAATGACTGTAATGTAAGTCGATATCATATTTACAATTTGCATTTTGTTTATTCATATTTATAATACATTTTTACAAAGTTCTCTCGTTGAGTCTACCACTAACTAGCCTATCGCATCCCGCATGACGCGTGCGCGGAAAATTTACAAAAAAAGAACAACGGTAAAATGTTGCCAGTAGAATAATAATAATAATAATTTTCGTTTACATGGTTTTGATTAAAAATAGAAGTGTTGTAAGAGAGATTTCTATAAAATATTTCGAAAAAAAAATATACCGTGTATTTTATTAAAGTTACATGAAATTTTGTTAACACAAATATTGAATAGGTATTTTTTCTGTTTTCCCAAACTATTTCGTCTCATAATTTCACAAAAATATCCTTAATATTTAGGTAACTGCACTACAAAGTAATAAAAATTATGTAACAGCCTCTATCTTCGATATTAAACTAAAAACAATCGCATTTTTACACAAAGATACAATAAATAATGCATTTGTACTGAGAACTCGCAAGTTGTAGAAAACGTAAAACAAATTAATGATACGAAATGACCTGCTTGCAATTAAAATTAGCACCAAGAAATATTTACACCAAACAATGAAACTGCAGCAAACCTCGAAAAAACAACGGATGACATTTTTTCTTATTTCGAATTCATTGAACATTCCAAAGAGTTCTATATTTAAAATTTAGTAAGGTACTTCTCGTAATATCGTCAACAAGGCTTTAATATTTTAGTAAATACCTACATAAAAATCATAACGCTTATTTTTTCAAATAATACCTACAATAAATTCCTTAAATGTTTTGCCAAAGTACTCTTTTCACTAATAGTTAGGTAAGTACACCGGGTATAATTCAGAATCCGAGCTATCACCAACTGACTGATAAGAAATCAAAAATCTCAACAACATTTTACGCAAGGCGGGAATCGGACACGGGACCCTTATTGCAACTGCTCGATCAAAGCATTAATCATCCGAAATAAAAATCAAAATTCATTTTTTAAATTCACAAAATAACGATATTCCGAATTCAAAACTCGACCGTTACAAATCTATTCGATTTCGATTCAACGTGGGTGTTTCACTCCTTCGCCTCTTAACCATAGATACGATGTAGAACAAAGGTTTGATTGACACAATGACAGTCGAACAATGCCTAAGTGCAATTAATGTAGCGAGATTTTTTTTTGCTACACACTTCAAATTTTTCCTAGAATACTTGTTAGGTCATTTAGATGTTTGATTTCCAAATTAGAAATTGGCTGTTGACTTTTGACTTTAGAAAATAAATTTGATGGCTAAATATATCTACTTGTTATATAACTTGAAAGCTTAAAGTTACAATACAAAATTGGTAAAGTTGTACCGCATCGTATAAAATATCCTTTTGATGAATTGAGAACAGAATTATGATAAAATAATCGAAAACAAAACCTACAAAAGTGCCTCCTTAAGAATCTATCTATTTTATTACATATTTTGACTTCCTTAAAATAATGTAGATAAATAATTATTTCAAGTATCAAAACGGTTCGATTATTAAACTTCAATTATCTTTACCGAGACTTACATTTAAAAAAGTACGGAAACGTCAAAATAAGAACGGTAAAGCCACAGAATATAAGTACCTAACCGTTGCGTTCCATTTCAATCAGACGTTATAAGATTTATCGCCGATATTATAACGCAGCCTGACATCTGAATGCAACAAATGATGGATTAAGGACAAGCCGAGCACAACACGACAGGTTGAATCGATACTTGATTATTCGAAATGGCTAAAACAAAAGGATATTCACATTTATGTAGTGTATTCATCTATTCGAATGTGGACAAACGTAATTGGAATCGATAAATATAGAATATTGAATGAGAATAAATATTTACGACACTGAACTGTAATCTGTAACCGTTAAAATTTGTTTGGGAAACGAGAATAAGTTTTATTATATTCTTTTATTTAAAAATTGACGTGTAAAAGTGTTACTTTGTAACCTATTTGCAGAAATAAATGTCATTTCATTTCAAACATCACTTCATTTCATTATATAATTTAATTGGCGTACCTTATCATTTCAGTCCATCAATTTTCACAAGGATCCCAAAATTTTGCATTATTTAACAAGATTAGTTATTTTCGGTAAGTAGAAGTCACAAAAACGATTTTTGAAAATATTCCTTCGATAATAAGAATAATGACGAGAAAAAAATTTAATTATTCTGAAATAGGTATGAAACTCTGTAAGTTAGATATCCCCTTTTTTACCTCCCGATATTTCATTGTGACAGAAAAATCAGGTACCTAATGAAATAAATGGATAGTTTAATCTTTTAAACCATAACTGTGTGTGTAGTCTTCTCTAAGACCATATCTTTTAAATAAGAAGAAATTTTCTTCTTAGTAAAATAAAAAAAAAATAGCTTGGCAGATCCAATTTCTAAAATAAAATCCTAATTTAAAAAATGAATACTATGAAACAAAATATTTGTCTATGGAATGTGCCTACAAAAGATTTCGATTGGAGAAGAAAGAAGATCTAAGTATTACCCAAGTATGTAATTTTGTCAACGGGAATATCTATTATTTCATTACCTACAAAAGAAATCATAGGTCTATTTTTCATAGCTGAAGAACATCAAAATAAAGTACCTATATTTTTATTTTACCGCATGCGGATTAACGTAGCAATATTTAAAAAAAATACTGATAATTTTAAAATTCATTAAATATTAGACAAAAAGGTTTTGATACTTGCGTTTTTTTTAATTTAGCAGTTTATTTTTGTGCTAATGCTTTGATTTAAATTTGTGAAGACAAATGCATTAGGTATTGCAGCTCAGTAGTTAGGCCTATATTTAAAAAAATACATATTCACTTTTAAGCGATAAAGAAACTCTCTTACAGCATTCTATTATTATCATTTCATGAACAAATAATTGCCGTCTTTATAGAATAAATAATGTATGATAGATATATTTAATTACAATGAATATGAGATAATATCACTAGACAACGGGTGTCGCGGAGTGATCGTGCTCAGGTACAAACCTTCATAATAGCGATATTTTACATCTACGCCACGAACGTAATTATCTACATTTTTAATAATAACTATAACATACAACTAAAAGCTGATATGATAAATAAAATCTATATTTACTGGTAAAATAGTTAGGATGTATAAATATTTAGGTAAGTAAATGCTTCTCACGGAAACGCATCCATATCGACCGCAGCCGCGCGAAGGTATCAAATAAATTAGCTAACGTTCTGAGTGGGAGTTTAAACACGAAATTATACGTAAAATTAACCCTGTCAAACCTTAACAACGAGTGAGTTATCAGTGCAGTCGAGGCGGAGGCCGGGGCCGGTACATACCTGAGATACGCCGATGCTGATACTTCGAGCACTCGCTTACACTTGTTACGATACAAATACGCCCTAATAACTGGGTTACAATGCCTTATCATCACATGCATCACGGACTCTGCGCGCTAACTAACATACATAACTGTCGTCTATATTGCATCGTCAGTCACTGAGCGTCCACGCCGACGGCGTCGCTGTTTAACACTATAGTCTGTAACTTTATTCCTCGTCCACGTTGATCTCCGAGTCCACCGAATCCTCGTCGTACGTGGAGGAGGAGGCGAAACCCTGGCCGAGCAGCGCGGAGCGGTTCTTAGCGGCAGCGGCTCGATCTCGTTGTCTCCGGTTTTTGAACCAGTTCCCCACTTGCGTCGGCGTCAGACCCGTGGCAGCAGCCAGTTCACGCTTCTTGGTTGGATTTGGGTAGGGGTCCTGTAGGTACCACTCTCGAAGAAGTGAACGCGTGCGCTCCTTGAAGCAGTGTGTCTTCTGTTCTCCATCCCAGATAGTGCGAGGCAGTGGGAACTTCTTTCGCACGCGATATTTATCCACGGGTCCAAGTGGTCGTCCACGTAGCCTCTCTGCCTCTTGGTAGTGAGCTTCAAGCCATAAAGCCTGCAGCTTGGCGTGACTTGAACGTTGAAACCGATGTCGCTCCAGAATTGAGTAAAGTTCACGGTGTCTCCCGGCGTGGAAGGCGACTACAGCTCGCGCTCGAAGCACTGCTTCACAGCGCTCCAGTTCAGCAACATTGGGGTGAGCCACTGGCAGAGACCAGAGGAATCTTGCCAGCCGCTCCACGTCGCCACTCTCCTCGAGCGTCTCACACACGGTAGCAACTTGTGCGGCGCTGAAGGAAAGCGTGGGCAGTGGCAGTAGAGGAGTAGGTGCCGCCAGTTCTACGCTGAGCTGCTGAGGAGCCGGCTCAGCGCAAGCGGCGGGCTCGGCAGCGCGCTCGGGCGCGGCGGGCCCGCGGTGCGCCTCCAGGATGCGCGCGTGCAGCGCCGCCGTCGCGGCCTCGTCCCACGAGCCGCGCATCGGAGCGAGTGTGCGCGCCGCGGCCGAGCGACCCGAGACTCGCCCGCCAGGGGCGGGCCGGTCGTGGGCCGCGATTGGCTATCGCTTACGGTTCGGGCGTCGCGCGGGCCAATCGCGCGTCTGCCAGCCCGGGGGGCCGGATAGCTTTCAACCGCGGCGCGGCGCGTATCCGGCGGGCGCGTTTAACTGTGGCGGCGGGGCGCGCGCCCCCCGCGCCGCCATGATCCGTCACGCACACCGGCGCGCCGCCAGCGCTCGGACCGCGCCTCGTGATCCACGCTCGCCTGCCACCTCTATCGATTACCTGCAAACCTGCAATTAATAGCCTCCATACAACAATCCGGGTGGATTACATGCTAGTGTTTGTCCTGTGTGTCGCGCCTGATCGATAAAATAATAATTTAGCGCGTAATTTACATACTTACCTGGCCATAAATCATGGCACGGACACCGATGATCAATCACCAGTGTTGTCTATTGACACAACAGTACCTACATGACACAGGACACAGATATGTCTCGTCTCCCCTACAGTTAGGTATTTGTGACCGTTATTTAGTTATGTAGATAGGAAAGATTTGCTTTGGAATTCGAGCATTTGGTGACTTCCCGTCGGTGGGATACAAGAAGAAACGGCAGCTTTTATATTTAAAAAATAGTCATCGTTACCATGTTTTTTACTTCAAACTATAAGAAGTATAATTTACCGCTAAGACCAAGTCTTATCTGTCGTATTTGATATCGTATTCATCAGACATCTCTCCACACAAAACGAAGCAACCATAACCAAAAAAATGTTATAAACCACTCATAAACTTTCAGCAAAATAATTTAGCGAGTCAAGTATCAAGACTACGGGGCGCAGTATTACCGAGCGAGATTTCAGCGTGAAAGCCTTCCGAGTGTATTAAGTTATTGAACGGCAAACCACACCCCGCTGTAACGGTACACAGGTGGCCACCCCACGCCCACCCCCAGCACTGGGCAGGGGGAGAGGAAGGGGGAGGGGTAGCCCACGCACATTACGTATTGTCATCGTGTCGCCTTTTTATCTACCACTATTAATATTATTCGATTTTTTCTGTTTTGTTTTCATCATTCTTATATTCAGGCTTGTTGTTTTAGTGGCGTGTGCTGGACTTGAGGATCAAGTACCAACACTTGTACGTTGACATAAGTGTTGGTATGTCATCGTCTTGTTGGTTGGTGAATAGGTTGCTAATACACCTGTCAAAAACACACAACAGACGGTTGTTTATTCGGGTAAAAAACAATTATGTTTTCGGCTAATGCAGTTTTTTACTGGATTATGTAGATACCATTGATTATCTAATTTAATACCTATAGGTATCACTGCTATCTAGTTATTTATGTAAGTCTAAGGGAAGTGTTCGATGTGTTCATAATGATTGCAGAGTTCCGTCGGCGACGCTACGATCCGATAACTTTCCTGTCAGTTGGAGAAGTCGATGCAAATAAAACTATTCTCCACTCCGCTTCTAGAGTTAGAAGTGAGTAATTTTCTTGAAGAATAGGAAATTTCAAATCACCAATCGTAACCCAAAATGACGTCTACACTGATGAGTTGATGCGTTCGTTGTTTTCTCGATACAACCATACTCCGTTTTTAACAGGCACCTAACGAGAACGGTAGTCTACCTTCAAGTTCTAGTTCCGAATATCTTATACCTAATAAGTAATGCCTACCTTTATTAGGTACTTACTAAGTTGTAAAGATATATTTACACATGTGGTTAACTGGACTTCAGGAAGTGTGTCGCGCCGGTCCCGGGCTATCTGAGATTTCATATTTAATGATAAGAAATGGTATTTCAAAACATTAATCGAGAATTCCACAAAAACCTAAGGTGCTTTTGTAAATATTAATAGCTGTTTTCGGTAAAAATAATATTCAGATGAAAAGTCAATATCATTGTTTATTTTCACATTAATTTCTTCACGATATCTATATTTTTTCGTCGGTAACCGAGCAGGATGTCCCACAATAAGTAAGCATCACAATCTCCTAGCAACAATCTATTTTCGTATCCAACGTATGTATCCAGGTCACTTAGCGCCGCGTCCGCCGGCAGATGGCGCTGGCAACCGATATCTCTGCCGATATCTTTTTTATAATCTACTTCGTTAATCTCCAACGAAGGAAAACGCAAAAGCTACAGCTGTTTATGGTCGCGAAGTTTTTTTTAAAGGTGATTCTATCTTTAAGGTATTTTTGGGCAAAGAAAATAAAAATATTATTGGCTAGCCTAGTACTAATTACTAAAAAGGTATAACATAGCTAAAAGACACAGAAGAAAGCTGAAAGCTTGACCAAAGCGTTTATTTCCAGTTTATTAACAGGCATATGTGTATTGGAAAAACGGTATTAGAAAGGATAATGCTATTATAAAACACTGAGGTGAAACAGGAAGTCTGCTATGCAAAATAATAATAAGTATTTTTTTAAGTGGGGAAAATCATCGAATAACTCTCCCGCCTGGGTGAGGCGGGAGGGAGAGTCAGGTTCTTACTGACTAAAAACTACCCCGTTCCTTCTCCTGCACGTCGAGCCGGAACCCCGGATACCCGTTAGGTTCTCCGCGACATAATTATAAGTATAACTTTAGTTATTTCCTGGTTTGAATGCTAAAGCTCCTATCTTATACCTAAGTAGGTAAATACTTATAGTTCAAGCTTTTTATTCCAGAAAAAAAAATAGCCTTATCAAAAATGTTAATATTGATCATTAATAACTAATACGTATTAAACTGTCAAACACCAAGCGGTCACCGGTGACCGCAACCTATTGTTCTATAATTGTGTCTACAAAACCGGTACTCGACGAGTTAATAAGGATTAAAACGTTATACCTAGGCACCTACTAGAGTAAATACACTACTTATAATATAAACAATTATGTACTTATAATATAATATAAGTAATTAAGGATAAGCGTGGGAGAGCCATGCTTCGGCACGAATGGGCCGGCACAACCGGAGTGATACCACGGCCTAACAGAAAACGGTCGTGAAACAACGCTTCCGTTGTGTTTCGTCATGTGAGTGATATAACCGGAGGCCCAATTACCCTCCAATCTCCCCAATTCCTGAATCCTAACAATCCTCAAATTCCTAATCCCTAAAAGGCCGGTAACGCACTTGTAACGCCTCTAGTGTTCCGAGTATCCATAGGCGAAGCCGGTTGCTTACCATCGGGTGATCCGCCTGCTCGTTTGCCGATTAAACTGTCAAAGACCAAGCGGTCACCGATGACCGCAAGCTATTGTTCTATAATTGTGTCTATAATGACGGTACTCGACGAGTTAATCCCTTAAAAAAACTTATAAATAAGTGTCTAAGTAAAACAAGAAAAAGCTATCCAATTTAAAGACATAGAAATAAATATATCGATATACAATTACAAACCAACAAATGATCGTGATTAAACGTCTCTCCATATATGAAATTGAATATCAAAATATTTATACAGAATTAAGCATTGAACGGTAGCAAATAGCTACACAAAGCGAACTAAACGCAGTCTAAATACAATGACTAAGCTTTTCCAAATAACGCTGAGACATTGTAATTAATATTAAGTAATTCGTATCCAATTACACATAGTTATATTTAACTTTATGCATACTAATGCTTGGGGGCAAAAAAGGATCCTTGTGTTTTAAAGATTAATATATGAAAATCTTTGGGAGTTGTTTATCATCATCATCATCAACAGCCTATAAATGACCACTGCTGAGCAAAGCCTCTTCTCACACGGAGAACGTTTGAGCATTAATCACCACGCTAGCTCATTGCGGGTTGTTACGGAACACGTAATTATTTGACGAGGAACTCGACTAGTTTCAAGTCATGTCAGTAGCAGCGCGACAGTCGCCGCGTCGCAGGTCGCAGAATGCTGCTCATGAATATGAGCCCCTAGCATGGCTTGAAACTAGTCGAGTTCCTCGTCAAATAATTGCGTGAGTAAGCCAAAAAGCATAAGAATGAAATATTGTATCTATCATCCCTAGTCGGTGCCACTTTCTACATCTACAAAAAACAACTATCGATAATATAACAAAAACATTATCCCTAGTAAATTTATCGTACCTATTTTATTTAATTTAATAAGTCTGCTTCGTTGGCCGAGTGGTTGCAAGTGCGACCGGCAAGGGTTCTCGGGTTCGATTGCCGGGTCGGGCAAAGTAATAGTGGGTTTAAAAAAAAACTCAGTATTGTCACGGAGTCTGGAATAGTGTCCGGTATATGCCTATAGGCTCACCCCCAGTAGGTGTTACATTGCACAGTGGCATAATGTGCACCTCTGCTCACCCCTTCGGGGATAAAAGGCGTGATGTTATGTTATCTATTTAATTTAATCTAGTGTTTTATCATCTACTTAAAAACAACATCTACGTATACCTAGGTAACTATCTAACTATAACACGTTTCGACGATTAAGTACTTAGACTATTTAGTTCAAAACTTTTAATAAAGTACTTACAAAAAACTTGAACCGTCATCGTCATCAAATTAAACCAATTAGTCGAGTCAGTCAGTCAGTCAGGTCATACATGTGACCTGACTCTAAATTAATGATGTAGTTCTCAAATTATCTACCTACGTACTGATATTTATGAAACTCATTCGTCATAATCACACCTTTGGTTTACCCGACTGCGAAGGAAATTAGTTGGAGTTGTGTGTTTTAATTCTACTGTAATGCTTTAGACTCGTTATTATCATCTTACAATTTATTTTAGGAGAATGTTGTAAATCCTGAAAGCTCTTTCAGAACCGACAGTATTTTTTTTATTTTTCTGAGTAAATTATATGCTATACATTAATAGATAAATATACGAACTTGATTTCGGACATAACATAACATAACATCACGCCTTTTATCCCCGAAGGGGAAGGCAGGTGCACATTACGGCACTTAATACTACTGTACAATATGTAACACCCACTTTTTACTAGTCGCATGTAATAGGGGGTGAGCCTATGGCCATATACCAGGCACATTTCCAGACTCTGTGTTACTACTGAGTTATTTTTAAATCCAGTAATACTTTGCCCGACCCGGAAATCTAACCCGAGACCCCTTGCCCGACAGTCGCACTTGCGACCACTTGGTCAACGAGGCAGTCTTGATTTCGGGCTGCTACTGAAAATTCCAATTAAATAATCAGTAACTATTTGCCCTAGCCTAACATGAAAATCAAACCGAATATACACCTTGAACTCGTCAGTCCCAGTTACCACTGAACTGAACCACTTTCCAAATATCTCTTAACAAGGATTTAATAGACATTTAATTTTAAAACCCAAGTTAAATACTTATAACATTTAAAAAATCGCTTACAACTCAATCAACTCCTGCGCATGTCGTGTTTGAAAACAGGGTCCTTAGACAAAGTAACATCGCTTAATAGCGAAAC